GTTACAGCGGACAATAAGCTAGTAAGAGCTGGCATGTTAGAGCTAGTGAGCTACTTCCTGCATCTACCTACAGCATGAGCATGAAAAGATGCATCATCTGGTGACCAGTTAAAGCAGGAGCAGGCAAAATGCCACCAGGCCATTTTATCTGGCCTGCAGGGCCCCTGAAAAAAAAAAAAAAGTTACAAAATTAATATTTACCTGCCCCTGGCTACCTGTCATGCAGCCCTTGATGGCTTGCCAAAAAACTCAGTAAGCAGCCCTCCACCTGAAACAACTGCCCGCCCCTAAGTTAAAGCAATAGGTTTGAAGAGCTTATGTGGGCTACTAGTTAGAGCCAGATTCTAATCCCAACTCTGTCACTAGCCTGTAGAGCAGATTTGTTCCATGCTTTTCAATGCAGAGATGAGTGTTAGTGTTGGCCAGGTACTAGACCTCCCAGGGGGAGGGGGATAGGCATGTGGAAGTCAGCTCTAAAGAAACAACAAGCATACCCCATTAAAATCAGTCTGCCTGGCAGCTTGGCCACCCACTTTGAAGTCACTTTAGAAGTACTGCATTAAGGCAGTAGAGGCTAGTCTTCTTTGCCAGTGTGCCACAAAATTAAGTATTCCTTGTCACTCTGCAGTCAAGTACTGTGCTAACCCTCTTGCCCTGCCTGATCTCTGGTGTGCTTTCTGCTCGATACCTTACTTACCACAGTGCTGCCTTCCTTCCCTGATCTGCCAACTGTTGGCTACCACCGCATTTAAGAGCTCATGTAGGCCAGCTTCATGAAACGTATAGGTTTTGAAACAAAATAAAAATAGAGATGTGCTGGGATGGAAACTTTTTAAGTCATATTAGGTAGACTTGCCTCCTCAAATCTCAGCCACTACAGTTTGAAAAGTTGGAAGTTTCTTCAGGTATTGTTCACTGGATTTGGTGTACAGGATTTAACAAAAGCTAGTTCGTGTGTTTTTTTCCCCTGCAAGTAGCAGGATTGACATGAATCATGTTCCACTTCAACAGAAGTGAAACAGTGCAGCAGCTTGCATATTGCAAAATGTTTTCCTCCATTGACAGTCTTCAGAAAATAGAGATAGAAGCATCTTCAAAGCCTGTATCCCCTGTCCATAGACCTTTACTTTGCTTACAGAATGATGCACAACCATATCAGACATCTTTATTTTGCTGTAATTGCCCAACTGTACAAATATGAATGTAGTTATAGAAATTCAAAATATATTGTAGTAGAAATCTGCTCAAGTGGAATGTTAGGATATTAATTTATAAAACTACGTGGGAATTTTTACATAAGCCATTTCCACTTTTGACATTCTGCAGACAGCTCCAATAAACCGACAGAAATTTCACCCTTTGTGAGGGGGGAGAAATCTAAATTATCTCCATTATCAGATGTACACATGATCAACATTTTGGACTCTAGTTCTTGTCCTTGGCACTCTAAGTGCCAATACCTCAAGTAATTCATATGCAATCCAGCTTTCATTTATACCATGGAAGCCAACATTGGTGTCAATCAACATGGTTAATTATTAGTCAAACAAGTGTCCAGAAAACCAAATATTGGAACCTAAAGGAGTTAAGCTAAATATGAATTTCCCCATGGCCATTGAGTGCAATTGATGCTTTTTCACATTTGCAGAATAAGGTGTCTTAGTTGTTCTTGAACAAGTCAATGCAACTTTGCAGGAGAGAGACATTGTTCTGGAATGGAAGACAACAAACTCAGTGTTAAAGCACATGTACATGCACTTATCCCAAACCCCATAAGTATTAGTATTTTGATGCTTGTAAACACAGGCTCATTTTCAATATGGGATTTGTGACAGTAAACATGCATACCAAAGCTAAAAAGATGTTACTGTTGTAGAAGGCAAGCAGAAAGTGCCAATATGAATAAGGGCTGTATAACCATCCCTCAAGTATGCCCTCATATATATGGAGGATATTGCACAAAGTGCGCAATATCTTCCTCATTGTCAGGGAGAAAAAACACAAAAAAAACCCCAAACATACTACTAATATTAAAAGGGAGCCAACAGCTTAGCTAGACAGCTGTGAAGTACACGCTTTGGGTTGTGCACTCCCTTTAAAACTAACCAAAGCTACCAGCTACCCCAATGGACCCCTCCAGTTAATGCAGAAACAAAAACAAAATGCCACATGCTGCTGCATACCTTGAGAGTCTGGTTTCCTTACCAAAGCCAAATAGTGGAAAGCTTAAGCTTTTGATTTGGCATTTAGTTTCCTAGCTTCAAAAAAGAGGAAGCAAGTCCTATCACAACGGTGCTAGCTAGAAGTGTACTCCACTATAACTGTGCTATAGTAATTCACTTCAAGAGACCACTTACCTTTGCATGCTTTATTTCCAGTTCTGTCATTTCAATTAGGTTTTTACGGAAGGCTGCTATTCTCTTCTGTTTGAAGGTGATCAGTTCTAAAGACACAAAATGGAGAAACCATTATCATTCACTTCTGAGGTAGTGGCAGTAAATAAGCACCTGCCATTGGCCATGGCCTGAAAATGCATGAAGGGAAGAGAGCATGAAGTAGTGGTAAGTATGTATTACCAAAAACCTTGTTAGGAGACCTAGACCTTAACTGGCACGTAGACTTCAGAGCAAGTCAATTTCTGCCAAACTTCACTTGAGGAAGCATCCCAGAAGAATGAAATGCTGAGTTGTAGTACTGATCTGGAAGGACTGCAGCCCTATACATGCTGTTGGATCAGAACATAGTCTGTCAGTATAAGGAACATGGATGATCAGGCACCATCTAGGTGATCAGGGCCCTCCTGCAAGATGCTTCTTCTAGCTAAAGGCCTACAGAGAAGGAAGGTGGGGGGGGTGGGCAGGGAAAGAGGGAAGAGAATGAAAAAAAAGCCGTGCAGGATCACATATCTGGTCAGAAGGCTTTAGCCTTTGCATAAGCAAGGGGTCTGCCTAATGGAAAATGGTTGCTGTTTGTTCATATGGACCTTGCTTCTGAACCAAGATGGCCACTTTGTCCCAGAAGTACCTGAAGTTTAGTTCAGAGATTTAAATTAACCACCTTGCCTGCATCTAAGGAACAGGAAGGTTCAGCCCAGACACTGATGGAAGACAGGCCTCCTAGAGGCAATTCTTTATGCTTCTATATTGCTGTAGCTACCTTCCTAGGTCTGAAAGCTATTTAGCTTAAGTAGTGGCAACCTCAATGAAAAGTAAGTGCCTGCATGGAAGCAGTCTGCGTGATTGTCAAGCCATTGCAAACTTTGACCCTCAGAAGCAAGTCTGGAGACCCAAAGAGAAAACTTGAGGATTGGAACACCAAGCAGCAAGATACCAACTATGGAGAAGTACCTTCTAGAGACTTGAGAAAGAATGTGACGTATTCAAAAGTTGTGCAGTTGGTAAGATGTTGTACCTTGTTTTGCAGACTCTGAAAGCTTCTCAAACTTTTGACAACAGTCTTGCTGATGTGCCTCTGCCTGTTTGACATCTTTGCTTTTTAATCTAGCTTTATCCAGAGCTTTGTTGGAGTTCTCATACTCAACAAGAGCCCGAGTACGCCTGTACAAGAGATCCTAAAAAAAAAATACAGAGTGGGATATTACTCTTACAAGATAAGTACTTAAATCCTGACTCCAAGCAAAACTACTTTCAGCCTTTTTAGAGTTTAAGAGGGGAGTTTTACTTTGTTATTTTTGGGGCTCTAGGGCAGGTGTTTGCTTTTAAAGAGTTGTAATTCTGTTTAAAGCTAGCTTTTTCTTCCTTTGATACAGAAGGTATATTTATAACCCCCAGAGCCCTAAGAGCTGCCCTCCCTGCTTCAAGCATCCTCCTTTTGGAGAAGGAAGGTCCTGCTAAAACCATCAATGCCATTCCTTGACCAGGGTGGATAAAAGATCAGCAATTAAAAAAAAAAATAGGTAAGTAAAATCCAATGCATTTCATTTAAAAAAAGAAAAAAAAAAAATCAGATTTTTGTTAGAGATACTTAAGAAAGCCAAAAATGTATATACAGTTTTAATTTAAGATATGTTAATGCTCAAAGATATCATAGAATAGGAATTATAGCTTCTAGTTATATTCTATTTG